ATTGACTCCTATGGACACAGACTGACCCACAGCATCCCCATTGACTCCTATGGACACAGACTGACCCACAGCATCCCCATTGACTCCTATAGACACAGACTGACCCACAGCATCCCCATTGACTCCTATGGACACAGACTGACCCACAGCATCCCCATTGACTCCTATGGACACAGACTGACCCACAGCATCCCCATTGACTCCTATAGACACAGACTGACCCACAGCATCCCCATTGACTCCTATGGACACAGACTGACCCACAGCATCCCCATTGACTCCTATAGACACAGACTGACCCACAGCATCCCCATTGACTCCTATGGACACAGACTGACCCACAGCATCCCCATTGACTCCTATGGACACAGACTGACCCACAGCATCCCCATTGACTCCTATGGACACCTACCCACATCCCCATTGACTCCTATAGACACAGACTGACCCACAGCATCCCCATTGACTCCTATAGACACAGACTGACCCACAGCATCCCCATTGACTCCTATGGACACAGACTGACCCACAGCATCCCCATTGACTCCTATGGACACAGACTGACCCACAGCACCCCATTGACTCCTATGACACAGACTGACCCAGCATCCCCATTGCTCCTATAGACACAGACTGACCCACAGCATCCCCATTGACTCCTATAGACACAGACTGACCCACAGCATCCCCATTGACTCCTATGGACACAGACTGACCCACAGCATCCCCATAGACACAGACTGACCCACAGCATCCCCATTGACTCCTATGGACACAGACTGACCCACAGCATCCCCATAGACACAGACTGACCCACAGCATCCCCATAGACACAGCCTGACCCACAGCATCCCCATAGACACAGCCTGACCCACAGCATCCCCATAGACACAGCCTGACCCACAGCATCCCCACATCACCCCACAGCCCCCCCCCGCCCCACATCCCCCACGCCCCCACCGCACCTGGGGCTGGTTGAGCAGGTAGCGGCAGAGCTCCCCGATGTACTGGAACACGGTGACCCCCTCGGCCCTGCAGTCATCCCAGAACTGGGAGGCCGAGAACTTCTCCCTCAGCACGCACGTGGCCCCTGGGCGTGAATGAATGGGGGTGAATGGGGGGGGCTCAGCACCCCCATGGCACCGGCGCGGTCCCCATGGGGCGCAGGACAGTGCCCCCCCCGCTCACCGATGCCGATGCAGCCGGCGATGCCCAGCAGGGACCCGGCCATGTGGTGCAGGGGCAGCGCCAGGTACACGACGTCGCGGCTGCAGGCGCCCACCAGCTCGTAGAAGCTGAGGCACAGCAGGGACTTGAGGTGGGAGACGCGGGCGGCCTTGGGGAGACCTGGGGGGGGGGAAGCGTCCTGGCATCAGCAGAGACCCCAGCACCATCAGCATCATAGAGCCATGAGCATCATAGGGCCATGAGCATCATAGAGCCATGAGCATCATTAACACCATAGAGCCTTCAGCATCATGGAGCCATCACCATTATAGAGCCAGCATCATTACCACCATAGAGCCATCACCATCAGCATCATAGAGCCATCACCGTCATAGAGCCAGCATCATTAACACCATAGAGCCATCACCATCAGCATCATAGAGCCATCACCGTCATAGAGCCAGCATCATTAACACCATAGAGCCATCAGCATCACCATCATAGAGCCATCAGCATCATAGAGCCAGCACCATTAACACCATAGAGCCATCACCATCACTATCATGGAGCCATCACCATCACCATCATAGAGCCATCACCATCATAGAGCCAGCACCATTAACACCATAGAGCCACCACCAACACCATCATACAGCCATCAGCATCACCATCATAGAGCCATCAGCATCATAGAGACAGCATCACTAACACCATAGAGCCATCAGCATCACCATCATAGAGCCATCACCATCAGCATCATAGAGCCATCACCGTCATAGAGCCAGCATCATTAACACCATAGAGCCATCACCAACACCATCATAGAGCCATCAGCATCATAGAACCAGCATCATTATCACCATAGAGCCATCACCATCACCATTATAGAGCCATCAGCATCATAGAGCCAGCATCATTAACACCATAGAGCCACCACCAACACCATCATAGAGCCACCAGCATCATAGAGCCAGCATCATTAACACCACAGAGCCACCACCAACACCATCATAGAGCCACCAGCATCATTATTACCATAGAGCCATCACCATCACCATTATAGAGCCATCACTGTCACCATCATAGACCCAGCACCATCACAGAGCCAGCATCATTAACATCACAGAGCCATCAGCATAAAAGACCCATCAGTATCATAGACCCAGTGCCATCATAAACCAAGTGCCTTCATAGACCCAGTACCATCACAGACCCATCACCACCCCAGACCCATCACCATCACAGACCCATCACCATCACCACAGACCCATCACCATCACAGACCCATCACCATCATCACAGACCCATCACCATCACAGACCCATCACCATCATCCCAGACCCATCACCATCACAGACCCATCACCATCCCCATCACCACCCCATCACCATCCCAGACCCATCACCATCACCATCACCACCCCATCACCACCCCATTACCATCCCAGACCCATCACCATCACCACAGACCCATCACCATCATCCCAGACCCATCACCATCACAGACCCATCACCATCCCCATCACCACCCCATCACCATCCCAGACCCGTCACCATCACCATCACCACCCCATCACCACCCCATTACCATCCCAGACCCATCACCACCCCAGACCCATCACCATCATCCCAGACCCATCACCATCACCATCACCACCCCATCACCACCCCAGACCCATCCCCATCACCACCCCGACCCCGTCCCGCGGTGCCCGGTGCGCACCGGTGGTGCCGGAGGTGAAGATGTACAGGCAGGTCTCGTTCATGTCCTGCGGCTCCCAGACGTCCTCGGGCTCCAGCTCCTCGGAGGCCGCATCCAGCAGCCCCTGCAGGGCCACGACCCCGGGGGGGTACGGCCCCGAGCCCAGCACCCACACCACGAGGTCGTCCTCCTGCTGCAGCGCGGGCAGGATGGGCTCCACGGATGCAAACAGGTCTGGGGGGGGGGTATAGGAGAGGATGGGATCAGCATTGGGATACTGGCCCCATCCCCATGGATCCCAATGGCCATCCCTGGCCATTTCCCCCCTATGGGGCAGCCCCGTCTGGGGGCTCAATGAGAGGTCCCAGCCCCAGACCCGTCTGGAGTCTTCCCTGCCCAATGCCTTAACCCTGGTCCCATGAGCCTGGTACTCCCATGGTCCCATCAGTATCACCCAGAGCCATTCCTGGCCCTTGCGTCCCCTGCAGCCTTTGCCCACTCCAGACCCCGTAAGCTCCGCACCTTTCTAGTGCCCTCCATCCCCATCCCATCTTCATCCCTATCCCATTCCAAACACCATCCTTATCCCCATCCCTGTCCCATTCCATCCCCTTCCCTATCCTCATCCAATCCCTATCCTTATCCCCATCCCATGCCCTTCCCCATCCCCATCTGCATTTCAATCCCATCCCCATCCCCTCCCATTCCCATCCCATCCCCACCCCCATCCGATCCCCATTCCCATCCCGTCCAAATCCCTGTCCCATTCCATCCCATTCCCTATCCTCATCCAATCCCTATCCTTATCCCCATCCCATGCCCTTCACCATCCCCATCCGCATTTCCATCCCCATCCCATCCCCATCCCCATTCCCAGTCCCATCCCATCCCATTCCCATTCCCATTCCTATCCCCATCCCATCCCCATTCCCATCCCCATCCCCATTCCCATTCCCATCCCATCCCCATCATTCCCATTCCCATTCCCATTCCCATCCCCATCCCATCCCCATCCCCGTCTCTCACCGTCCGCCACCAGCAGTGCCCTGGCCCCGCACACCTTCAGGCAGTGCCGCAGGGCCGCGGGGCGCAGCGCGCTCCCGAGGAACGCCGGGCGCGCTCCGATCGCCGCCAGCCCGAGCCAGCCCCACACGAAGCGGGGCTCGTTGCGCACGAGCAGCCCCACGGCCACGCCCGGCCCGAGCGCGCCCCCGCGGGCGGGGCCGAGCGGGAGCCCCCGCAGGGCGTTGGCCGCGCGCGCCACCTCTCGCGCCGCGCTCCCGTAGGGCAGGGTCCCGCCGGCCGCGCGCAGGAACGGGCGCGAGGGGGAGGCGCGCGCGGCGCGCAGGAAGCGCGCGGGGAGGGTGCGCGCGCCCCCGCCCCCCGCCAGGCCCCGCGCGCGCCGCCGGCAGCGCAGGGCGCGCGCCGCGAAGGCGAGGTCCGCGCGCAGCAGCGGCTGCAGCAGCAGCAGCGCCGGCAGCAGCAGCGCCAGCGCCGCCAGCAGCGGCCACATCGCGGGGCTCAATGGGGCGCCTACACCCGCCCCCCGGCGCCCATTGGGCAGCGCGGACCCGAGCCGCGCGCTCATTGGGGGGGCCCTCGCCCGCCGGCAACGCCCATTGGCCGCCGCGCTCCGGGGTACGCCCCCACACCGCCACGCCCTTTTCTGTTAGACCCCTCCCATGAAGCGCGCCCATTGGACAGCCCCCCTGCGCCCTTCCGAACGCGCATTGGGCAGCGCGGCCGTGGCCCATCGCCCATTGGCTGTAGCCGTGGGACAGCCCTTCAATGGACACGCCCTACGGGCACTCCCATTGGACCCCCTCCATTCACGTCTCCATCAGCACCCATTGAGCCCGGGGTCCCCACCCCTGCCCCATGCCCCCCCCCCCGGGGGACCCCAACCCTGTCCCCCACCCCATTGAGTCTCCTCCACCCCCAATCCCCACAGACCCCCCCATGGGCCCCCCCCGCCCAATTCCCAGCTGCATCCCGGCCCCAACACAGCATCATAAAGGGGGGGTCACAACATTAAGGGGGGGGTCACAGCACCATAAAGGGGGGGGGCACAGCATCATAAAGGGGGTGCACAGCATCATAAAGAAGGGGTCACAGCATCCTAAAGGGGGGGTCCCAGCACCATAAAGGCGGGGTTCACAGCATCATAAAGGGGGTGCACAGCATCATAAAGGGGGGGGGTCATAGCACCATAAAGGGGGGTGCAGAGCATCATAAAGGGGGGGGTCCCAGCATCACAAAGGGGGGTATCCCAGCACCATCAAGGGGGGGTCCCAGCATCGTAAAGGGTGCACAGCACCATAAAGGGGGCAGTCCCAGCACCATAAAGGCGGGGGTCACAGCATCGTAAAGGGGGGTGCAGAGCATCATAAAGGGGGTGGTCCCAGCATCATAAAGGGGCTGCAGAGCATCACAAAGGGGGCTGCAGAGCATCACAAAGGGGGCTGCAGAGCATCATAAAGGGGGTGCACAGCATCATAAAGGGGGTGCACAGCATCATCAAGAGGGGGGTCCCATCACCATCAAGGGGGGGTCACAGCACCCTAAAGGGGGGGTCCCATCACCATCAAGGGGGGGTCACAGCATGAAGGGGGGGGCCGCTGTACAAAACAGGAGAGGGCTTTTATTGCTGTTTCCTTTAAAAACACTTAAAAACTCCATTAACTCTTTGCGGGGGGGGGGGACACGACATGGAACAGCCCCCCCCCGCAGCCCTTTGTGGGGTGGGGGGGGGTCAGTGGGGTGCTATGGGTCAGGCCATGCCCCCCCCCCCCCAGCCCCCTGCAGCAGGACTCGCTTGCACTCTTTATTTCCATCATGCCTATGAAAGAGGGTGCAGGATGCACCCCCCCCTGCACCCCAAAACCCCATTGTGGGGGGGTCCCCCCATCCCCATTGTGGGGGACGGGGGTTGGAAAGCCCCACCCCCCTTTTTGCTGTTATAAATGGGGGGGTTGAGGGGAAGGGGGTCCCCCCATCCATGAGCATCCCTCCGGCTCCGGTCCTGCAGCATCAGTCGCTGTCGGAGCCCACGGCCGAGGAGCCCTTGCGCTTCCTCTTGGTGGGTTTGGGTTTGGTGTCTTCCTCCTCCTGGGGCACAGAGGGGGAGATGGGCAATGGGGGGCACCCCTATGGGTGGGGGGGACCCCTATAGGTCACTATGTAGGGAGCAATGGGGATGGGGGCACCCCTATAGGTCCCTATAGGTGGCAATGGGGGTGGGCACCCCTAAAGATCCCTATAGGGGCAATGGGGGGGGCACCCTTATAGGTCCTATATAGGGGGCAATGGGGGGAGCACCCCTACAGATCCCTATATAGGGAGCAATGGGGGGGAGGACCCTATAGGACGCTATAGGTGGGGGACACCCCTATAGGTCCCTATATAGGGGGCAATGGGGAGGGGGGCACCCCTATAGGTGTCAATGTGGAGGGCATCCCTATAGATCCCCATAGGTGACAATGGGGGGGGCACCCCAATAGGTGTCAAGGAGGGGGGCCACTCCAATAGGTGTCAATGGGGGGGCACCCCTATGGGTGTCAATAGGGGGTACCCCTATGGGTGTCGAGGGGGTGGGCACCCCTATAGGTCTGTATGGGTGTCAGTGGGGGGGGCACCCCAATAGATGTCAGTTGGGGGGCATCCCTATAGGTCCGTATGGGTGTCAATGGGGGGGACCCCAATAGATGTCAATGGGGGGGCACCCCAATAGATGCCAATGGGGGGGCATCCCTATGGGTGTCAATGGGGGGGGCACCCCAATGGGTGTCAATGGGGGGGCACCCCAATAGATGTCAATGGGGGGGACCCCAATAGATGTCAATGGGGGGGCACCCCAATAGATGTCAATGGGGGGGCACCCCAACAGATGTCAATGGGGGGGCATCCCTATGGGTGTCAACGGGGGGGACCCCAATAGATGTCAATGGGGGGCACCCCTACGGGTGTCAATGGGGGCTCACCGAGGCGCTGCTGGAGGCCGACTCCTCCTCGGGGTTGGGGGGCTGCGCCGCGCTCTTGCGGCTGCGGGGGCTGGCGATGGGCGCCTTGCGGCGGCTCTTGGGGGGCTTGCTCGAGGAGTCCTCGTATTCCTCAGCCAGGGAGAAGAGGTCGCTGAACCTGGGGAGCAGGGAGGGGAATGGGATGGGGATGGATGGGAATGGGGGGGGGGGTGGATGGGGGGGGGCAGGATGGGAATGGGGAATGGGAGGGATGGCAATAGGGATGGGGATGGCGATGCGATGGGGATGGGGATGGGATGGGGATGGGGACGGGGATGGGGATGGGGATGGGGACGGGGATGGAGTGGGATGGGATGGGGATGGGAATGGGGATGGGAATGGGGATGGGGATGGGATGGGGATGGGGGGGTGGGGATGGGGGGGGATGGGGATGGGAATGGGGCAGGATGGGGATGGGGATGGGAATGGGAGGGATGGGGATGGGGATGGGGATGGGATGGGGATAGGATGGGGATGGGATGGGGATGGGGATGGGGATGGGATGGGAATGGAGGTGGGGATGGGCGTGGGGATGGGGAGGATGCAGGAGGAAGGAAGGGACTCACTTCATCTTATGGGCTTCATCGCAGCTGGCCTGGACGTGCTGCAGCGCCTGCAGGATCGGGGTTTGGCTGAAAACTGGGAAAGAGAAGGAAAATGGGAATGAGGGATGGGATCCATGTGCTCCCCCCCTGCCACGGGGGGGACAGCAGCGGGGATGGGATGGGGATTGGATGGGGATGGGATGGGGATGGGGATGGGGACGGGATGGGGATGGGGATGGGATGGGGATGGGGATGGGATGGGGATGGGGATGGGATGGAGGATGGGGATGGGGATGGGGAGGGGATGGGGATGGGGAGGAGGATGGGGATGGATGGGGATGGGGATGGGGATGGGATGGGGATGGGGATGGGATGGGGATGGGGATGGGATGGGGATGGGGATGGGATGGGGATGGGATGGGGGTGGGATGGGGATGGGGATGGGATGGGGATGGGTCCGTACAGTTCTGCTTGGTGTTGGTGAGGTTGAGGCGCAGGTTATCCAGGTGCTCCAGGATCTGCTCCAGGGTGAGCTGGGCCAGTTTGCTGCTGGAGCTGCGCAGGCTGAGGGCAGGGAGCAGCACCCATCAGGGCACAGCACCCATCAGGGTACAGCACCCATCTGGCACCCAAAGAGGGGGGGCCTAGGGGATACATCCTGCTTGGCTCCATCCCAAGCAAGTGCCAGCCTGAGTGGGAACTGGACCTGGATCCATCTGGGATCATGGAACAGAAGCACAGGGAGAAGGAGCTGCCTTGCTCCATGGGGAAAGGGCACTGATAGAGAGGAGCAGGTTCCTTTGGGGGGCACCCAGAGGTGCCAGCTCTGGGCCACAGGGGTGCTGGATGGGTGCTCTGCTCTCCCAGGACACTAGATGTCCTTCCTCCTCCATCCCAAGGGCTGCAGGAACCCGGTGGGGATGGAGCGGGAGGCACCTCCTCCAGCTCTGCCCATCTCAATCCCATCTTCCCTATGGCAGGGTCAAGCCATTCCCATTATCCTGGCCCTGCATCCCTTCCCTCTTCCAGCGATCCTGTGGGTCTCGGGATGCAAAGGACTGCACTAGGAGATGCTCTGGGCACCAGGAGATGCTCTGGGTACCAGGAGATGCTCTGGGCACTATGAGATGCTCTGGGCACCAGATGCTCTGGGTACCAGGAGATGCTCTGGGTACCAGGAGATGCTCTGGGTACCAGATGCTCTGGGTACCAGGAGATGCTCTGGGTACCAGGAGATGCTCTGGGCACTATGAGATGCTCTGGGTACCAGGAGATGCTCTGGGTACCAGAAGATGCTCTGGGTACCAGAAGATGCTCTGGGCACTATGAGATGCTCTGGGTACCAGGAGATGCTCTGAGTACCAGGAGATGCTCTGGGCACCAGGAGATGCTCTGGGCACTACGAGATGCTCTGGGTACCAGAAGATGCTCTGGGTACCAGAAGATGCTCTGGGCACTATGAGATGCTCTGGGTACCAGGAGATGCTCTGGGCACTACGAGATGCTCTGGGCACTACGAGATGCTCTAGGTACCAGATGCTCTGGGTACCAGGAGATGCTCTGCGTACCAGGAGATGCTCTGGGCACTATGAGATGCTCTGGGTACCAGGAGATGCTCTGGGTACCAGGAGATGCTCTGGGTACCAGGAGATGCTCTGGGCACCAGGAGATGCTCTGGGTACCAGGAGATGCTCTGGGCACTATGAGATGCTCTGGGTACCAGGAGATGCTCTGGGTACCAGAAGATGCTCTGGGCACCAAGAGCAAGTTGCTCAATGGGCACCAAGAGGGGGTTCAGCACTAGGACCTGCCTGGCTCCTGGGATCCCAATGGGACACAAAGGGGACACAAAGGGGACACGGGGGGGGGAGGTGTCAGAGGGTGCCTGCCCCATCCCCACACCTCTGCCTCTTCCGGGGCAGGCTGTTGTTCTTGATGAGCAGGGATTT